CAAAAGCAGGAAGGCAAATGCAGTCAGTTAAGCGGATGTTTCGGATACTGAATATGGGTCACCATGGACTAAAACGCATCGAAAATATCAGACAGATAAATAGTAGGGTAACTAGTTCAGCGCAAGGACTGCATTGCGCGATCACCGTGGCTGACACTGTTGAGACAGTCCGGGAGATATTTAAGGCATACCTCACAGAGATCTCTGCTCCCCACACCCAATTCATTTAGATTAGGGTGATACGGGCGCAGCCTTCTTGAATAGATCAGACAGGTAAATACCTGCTCAGGAAGCGCTCTAAGTGCTGACGAACTTACCAACCGGCTTCATCAACCAGCACCTACAAAACCTATCGAGCGGTTAGAAATAAATGTAGGAGACATCTTAAAACTCTTCGTCTTCAGTAGGAGGAGGATTTGGCTGACGCAGCGGTAACAAATCCAAAGAAGTTCGTTGCTTACGTAAAGAGATGCGTCGGTACATACTCGTCTATATCGGCTTTACTACCAGCGCACAGCACCAGCGGGCCTACCGACTATGATAATGCTTGTATACTTAGCGAACAGTGTACTGGTGAAGCCTCTTTACCTCAGGTTGAGATGGTCACAAAAGTCCCGGATGGTTCTTGCCTAACTGATCGGCATAACGGAGACACAAGTCTTTGGGCTATTGCAAGGGTTCAATCCTTCCACAGCTTCTGGCCCTGATGCAATGCATCCGAAGCTGATGCATGAATTGGCCACTGAGCTAAGTAGCCCTCTGACATGCACGTTTACAATACCACTCGACAGCTGTGCATTACCTTCGGAATGGAAGAAATCAATCATCTGTCCGATTGTTAAGGGCGGTGACAGAGCTGCGCCTACGAACTACCGGCCTAACAGCTTAACAAGCGCAGTAGTTAAGTTCTTCGAAAAATTCGTCAGGTATTCGGTGAAGAACCTGATCAACTTTAACCTTAGCAGTGCGGCACAGCACGGATTCCGTAAGGGATTTTCAGGTCTGACAAATTTACTCGTAGCTCTTGAAAGCTGGGTTGAGGCAGTAGCCAACGGTCACGCTATCGACGTGGTTTTCGTTGACTTCTCGAAACCGCTTGATACTGTCCCACATAAACAGCTCTCATTGAAGTTGAGATCGTATGGGATATCTGGAGCTGCCCTTAAATGGGTTTCTGCTTTCCTAGAGGGCAGAGAACAGTGTGTACGCGTGGGGCATAGCTTTTCGCTTAGACAAGCTGTTTTTAGTGGCCTTCCGCAGGGATCGGTTCTAAGGCCGTTGCTTTTCGCAATTTATGTCAATGACCTACCCCAGGAGGTTGATGTACTGTCGCTATTGTTTGCTGATGCCCTCAAGCTCTGGAATATTGTGGATATCCCTGGTGGCTCTGAGGCAATTCAGAGTGCCAAGGATAGGCTCTGGGATTGGTCAACCTTATGGTTGATGCTTATAAATCAAGCGAAATCTTCTGTCTTCCGCATTGGAGGTGCTAGTCCCCCACGCGCTATGCAGTTGGTGGTGGAAAGGAAAGCCCTGTTGTCACTCAGCAGTTTGATCTAGGTATCACGCGCACCTCATTGCTTCACTCTGGGGACAATTGGAGGAAGGCTGCTTGTAGAAGGTTCCGTATGATGTGGTTTATTCGCCGCTCCTTCGGTGTCCTAACGGCCAATATCTTTGTGAAGCTGTTCTCAGCTGTTGTGCGATCCCACTTAGAGTACTGTATCCAGGCTTGTCCACCTTGTCTTGTATGGGACAAAATGCAACTGGAGAGAGTTTTGCGAGTGTGTATTAGGTTAGTGCAGGGATTACGAGGGCAAACATATCTCGAAATTTTGCTTAGCTTGGGTATGTACTCAATGCACTACCGCAGAATTAGTGGAGACTTGATTCTCACTTACCGTGGCTCAACGGGTAAGATCGGTCCAGACTTGTCCTGGTTATTTAGTCGCGCCACTCTGCCTAGTCTCCGAGGTCACCCGTTGAAGCTGCACAAACAGCGTTCTGACCGGGTAAGGACGGAAACTCGCTTGTCGCGCCATTATGAAACGATGGAACGCGATTCCGTAGCAAGTCGTTAGGGAGTCTACGGTAGAGGGTTTCGATCATCAGTTAGATGCCCTTGGGTGACAGTACCAAACCTTCCCCTTCTTCTAACAGACTTGTATCTTCAACTTTCCCTTCGTTTTTTTAATTTTCTCACACCTTGGTATTGTCATTATTTAAGTGACATTCCTCCTCTTCTTTTCTTAGCTTACCCTTCACTCTTGTACTTCACATATGCCAACCTGGCAGGGAGTGCTGGGCAGGAAAATGTGGGCAGTAATTGGTTGGACAGGGTGTGATGCGGTCTTTGTTTTAGGCTTTTCAACGTCTCAAGCAGACCTATCAATTCCCTATCCGACGATACGCAAAAGAAGGAACATTCACGGGATTATCCTATCGTTCCGGTCCCAATTGAACTTAAGCTTGAACTTGTGTTTTACAAAACTCTTAGAAGCACGTGGACGTTCGATGATAAATTAGTCAAAGAAAAGAATGTCCTTGATTAATGGGATGCACCATAGGAGTAACTCAACACTATCGGTTTCAACCAAACGTGCTATATCCCATGACCATCGGATGCTGGCATTAATGCAAAACAATCAGTGGGTTTTCCTTGGTTCAGCTGTTCGCCGAGCTTCACAATTGGTATGCAAACGTTTCATCACCACATGAGGTGACTTTCGCAGTGCGCTGCTGAGACTGACTGACTTCGTTGTCGATTTGTGATTGATTAGCAAGTGACTTTTGAATTGTCCTCTTCTATCTGTGTCCGGTGAGCAAGCTTCCGCCCAAGTTCTCTGATAGACTGCTGCCCCAACAGTCAGGGCAAACCATCCACGGATCGCCCGTGTCTATCAGTAAAGTTGGGCAGGCGGATGGTCACGGAGCACAGATCGAGGAAGTCAATTCAAATGTCACTTGCTAATCAAGCACAAATCGATGAGCAGGTCAGAGGATTACGTCTGACCCAGCATCACACTTAGGAAGTCACTTCCTGTGGTAATGAAACGTTAGCAAACCAACTGCGAAGCTCGGCGAACAGTTGAACCCAGGAACAATCAACCCGGGCTACCAATGCATCAAGCCATTTAACAGTGGGTGTTGCCATAACCCTCCTAAACTCCAGGCAGACATACTCATATAAATAAATATATATATATATATATTACAATAGTCTATGAATAGACATTAAGCCATCGGAAACCATGGAAGTTAAAACAAGGTAAAGAAATAGTGAAAGAAAACACAACACATCAAAGTCCACGGTTTCGTCAGAGGGCGAGATACTACCCGGTTGCTCAAGCCGAAGTAGGGTGTTGACTTCGAGGACACAACCCCGAACCTTTGGCTGAATAACCTGCCCGCAAGGCAGTGGAGCGAATTCAGGGAATCGTGCTCATTGGGAGCCGGTGACTGATTGCTCAGTTCATACACCTTTCGTTTGTTCCTTTGTCAAACAGGGGCCTAATGCTCCCCAGAATTATAGCACAAAGTTTCTGGAATACAATGCTTCGCCAGGATGAAGCAAGGGGCAGTGACTTTACTTAGTGGCGAGTCACGTCTGCCACGTCACAGTTTTGTTAAACGGATATATGTGGGTTTTTATAGGGAGAACGCTTGCCAGGCGAAAACCCACCACGTCCTGGAACGTACTCGCGTATGAGTGACTCCAAGACGCTTGGTGTGTCATGCATTTCACGCGTTCTTTTACTGATACTGATATTTTTTATATTTAGCACCCTAACTATTCTAAAGAACATGTTAAGGATTCGCTTTCATAGCCGTCATAAACCATTACTGCATTGGTAAAACTTTACGTACTGAACAGCATCATTTGACATTATTCATTAACGCAGAGCAGTAAACAGCATGACGTGTCTGGCCTTGCCATTGTGGGCTTACCACTGATTGTGGCATGCGTATGGTTGGGGAAGTGGCAATTAGTGGAAGCGCAAAGTGAGTAAGAGTAGTATTCAACCGTTTCGCAGTAACTAGAGCTACATCAATTATTTTTCTCTATCCAAGAACGCATACAGAGTTCGCATGAGTAGGGGGTTCACTCGCCTTTCATTATTTCCCGTAACCGCCTAGTTCTAGGCGGAAAATAGCTTTTTCCATTTCGACCGTTTATAGCCAGGTATGTAGGACGACTGGCATACACCATTTGAGCATGCGTTCTTCGGGTGTAGATGTTACCACTCTTTTACATGGCAGTTCTGATCGGATCTGACTGACGTATTGTGTGGTGTGGTCTGTGTAATCGGAAAGCTATTGGACCGGTAACCACTCTATCATAATAGGATTAAATTGTTTGACCAAACGATTAAGGTCAGGATTATACGGTGCCATTCTCCCACCTCCGTGAAAATCAATCTTTCCTCTCCAACCTGATTCCTTTTCTCATTGGCATAGTGATGTTCGTAGCTGTGTGAGTCAACGTGAACGGATTTAACGCATTTAACTGTGCCAATGAGAGTTGAGCAAATAAGCAGAACCGAAGCTAACAAGTACATTAGTGGCTTGAATGGCAGCTAAGTGCTCACAGTACGATCGATAACTGAAAGTTCACTACCAACATTGTAACACTTACAATGTCAACGTACACGACACAACCGTTTTCATCTTTAGGTGTCCACTCATTGCACATGGATTGGATGCGCACACGTTCGAGATAAAAAGCATTCTGGCAAACAATTTCTTCTAGTGCCTTTCCACCAATCACATAACTGAGAAAATTTGCTACAAATTGTGCTTCGTTGTCATGGTGAATGTGCAAACGCATCTGGGCCTTAAAGTAGTGTTCGGATACGCTGGTCCATGCACATGAGACTGTGGGCTGACCAGTTCGTTGGTGCCGCGTAATACTGTACGATTGCAAGCAGTAACTTAATTGTCACGCGACATTTTGAAGAACAAGGGTAATATAAATTCTCAAAAGAGACCTAAGAAGTAATATGCTCAAACTGGGCTTCATCCCCATCTTAGTGGTGACGCTACTGGGCTACTCCGGCCAACAACATTCGCCCCATTCGATCCGCATTGAGCGGAACACAAACTGGCCCGCCGCGGATCACGAATTCGCGAAGCGATTGCCCACGTGGTCTCAGGAAATACAACACTTTCTCAAATCGCTTGAGAACACGCACCAACTTACCTCATCGGACATTCGAATGGTGTATGGACGTTGTGCAAGCAGTCCAAAACATCTTGATGCGCATCAGGTGGAGCATAGTGCGTATATCATCAATCAGTCGGAGTTCTGTGTGCTTCGACCTCAGATGAAGTTACTCATCGTGGTTCACTCACACCCAAGCAACACGCATCGACGTCACCTAATACGTTCCACATGGGCGTCGATGAGGCGGGTGGCACTGGAGCAGATAGCGACTATATTTTTCCTCGGAAGAGCGACGAGTGAGGCGCAGCAGCAGAAGATAGAGGAGGAAAACCAGCTGTTCCAGTAAGCACACAAAGAAAAATTCATATGTTTCTTGCTACTGTAGCAGTTACTTCGTATAACAATCCAGCAAAATAATACCATTGAGAAGCAGATAGGTGGTATGCAGAATGCCACTGAATACATTCATTTTGTTTACCTAGTCATAATATCTCAGTCTTAGTCCTTTCTACAGCAATCTATTTGCATGTAGGTTTTTTCTCATTGATCAAATACGTCGGACGACCTATGGCTTATGGGATAAAGAACAGCAAGCTAAATGTGCGTAGAGACCGCCTGATACATAAAATAGATTAGACCAAGTGGCGGCCGCGGGCCCCTTTACCATATACATGTATTAGAAAATAATATGCTGTCAAGATTTTGCAGTCAAGCATTGGAGTTGGCTAGAATAGGCGTATTAAACTGTGGCACACGGTTAGCGTGTAGTATGCAGAGATAAAAGTGGTAGAATTTAATAATGAAGATTACCAACCTCGGTACAGACATTTTCATGACGAAGCCATGTCACTTACTGAGTATAGGCCTATCAGCAAATGATAAGCTTTTTAAGGGAAGAGGATGTTGGACCAATCAAGTTTCTAGAGTCCGAGTCCGGAAGACGTGCAAGTGGGCGTAGAGCCAAAACTACTAAATTTATTATATATATATATATATATATATATATATATATATATAGCTTGCTCAGGAAAAATTTGGCGAAGTGCCACAACATTTGAGTAACAATAACAAAAGGAGAGAGTGAGCCAGAGGAATGGAAGCAAAGTTCCATGTGTTGTGTGGTCAATGAGAATTAATGGTGAACCAGATGACCAGCCCAGAACTCCCCACACTCTGAGACGCTGCCGCTGATTTTCCCCGACTGCTTATTCATCTCGTCTGCAAGGCGAAGGAGACTTATTCACAGTTACCTCCACAAGGAAGGCGTTCTCCGATCCGCAACCTCGGAACGCGCCCGATAGCGTTGAGCTCCGCCGGCGGAATACCTCCCTGGTTCATCCATCTCTCTCGAGCAACAGTCGAACATACTCCAATGAAGGCTGCGTTTATTTGTTTAGTCAGCACAGTTATCGGCGTCTCATAATTTTCGTGTAGAGTGGGGGAGAAGTTTTTGGTTACTTGGTTAATTGCGTAAGGTTTCAGCTGCTTCTACAGTACAAAGTTCCAATTTACAAAATTTCAGACTGGCACCTTTATTGTATCGCAATGAACGTTATAATGATAATGTATTGAAGTACGGATTTTTTCATTCCAAACTAGTTACTGCACCGTATACGCTTGGCTTTTCCGACGTAAATTATCTCGTATATTTTACAGTGGAAGTCACTAACAGGGTTACTGTTTTTGAATCGACAGTGAATGTTACGCTGCCACCACATGCGCATTGGATCCGCTCCTGTGGAGTTGCCTGAAAAGTTGCCTCTAGGTTGCATCAAAATACATCAAAAACATGTGAACCACATGTCTTAGTCATCAAACGTGCTGATGCGAACTGTGTGAGCTCTTTCAATGAGGCTAGCTTGGTTATGCAGCAAACAAGGAAATCATACTTATCTCGATATTCGATTGTCACGTCCAGGTAATTGCACAATATTAGGTTCGCGACTCAAACCTAATCCACTGTGAAATATTAAGCCATCATACGCGTTCCATCTTTTGGTCATCAAGTTCTCTATGAGGTTGAAACCTAAGACCTCAAATCGTCGGGGGGGAAAAGCAGGCGTACAATCCTCAAACCTCCAACAACCTGACCCACCATAATTACCTTAGATTGGCATGAAAATGAATATAACAATCACTGGAGGAGTCATTTTGATGCACGTTGTGTGAATAGCTTTTGCTATACAATAGCAATATGGACTGCGATTCACTTCGAAACGAACCTCAGACTATTCAATCACTGGGATCACACATGTAAAGCCCGTTGGGTGTTACCTGCTGGCAACTGTGCGCGCTTCTGGTCAGCGCTGTTCGGAAGACAATGAGACGGGAAAATCTAGGTCACTCATGGTACGTGGCAAGCGGACCTAAAGTTGGACACAAGAGGAGAGTACCAAATATGCGTCCGTCGCATTTCAGGCGGCATTTCATATCTGAACTATTACACCAGCCCACTTCAAATTGATCGGTTCACCTTGTTTATTGGTTTCGCCCTTGACATCTGCTTGTAAACGCAATCGCGTTCACAGGACACGACTTAGAAGGTGTGGAGCTACTCCCAGGAGAACGACCTCTTGACTTAGAGTATGCTGATGATATTGCCTTGATCTGTGACAGCTCCCAGACGTGCCAAGCGGCACTGGACAGATAAGCACTAGCTGTCCGTCACTTCGGACTTTGCTTTGCACCCTCGAAGTGCAAAGAGTTTCTCCAAGATTGGTCTGGACCGCCTCCTACGCTGACACTTGGTGGGGATCAGCTATGAACAACAATGAACAATGAATTTATACGGGTTAAGAAGCGTTGCTTTACAAGTCCCGTTGGATAGTTGCACGGGATATCAACATAACAACAATGATGATAAGGATAGTAAAATAGTTAATACTTTAAATACGAAAATAAGGAATTATCGTTTGCTTCGCTGCAGTCCTGCGATCCTCTTAGATTCACAACATCCACAGTTAACAACAAATAATTCCAGGGTAAACTCCAGGTGTAGGATGGAGACGTAGTGTTAAGTAACAAAGTGTAAGTGGATGAGTGCATCGTCCAACCGTCTTTTAAATATTGTTAGTGTCGGTGCAGAGACGACCGATTCTGGGAGAGCATTCCACGGGTGACAGACACGGATGGAAAAGAAATTTCTGCGGCACTCCAGACGACTGTATTGTTCTGCGAGTTTTAATGAGTGGCCCCTCAGGTTTGTATTGCTGCTGAGTTGCAGTAAAGGGCGGCACACATGATGTGGGTCTCGCAGAATCAAGTATGCCATAATCAGGTCGCCTCGTAGTCTGCGATAGCTTCCACTGAACAATCCTAGTCGTCGCAGCCTCTCCTGGTAGGAACGATTGCGCATTCCAATGACGTTCTTAGATGCCCGGCGTTGTGGCTGCTCCAGTGAATTAAGGTCGTGTTTCAGCCATGGATGCCAGGCTTGAATTGCATATTCGACATGGGAGCGAACATACGCACTGAGCATTTGTCGAAATATGGAGCTGTTTATTTGTCCAAACGCCCGCCTCAACAGCCCCACATGTTGGTTCCCAGTCTTCGAGGCCTTTTCCGATTGTTGGAGCAATCAAAGTCATCTTGAACCAGGACACTCAAGTCACGTTCGAGAGTTGATTGTTGCAGTACATCCGTTCCGAGTCGGTATGAGTAGCTGCTTTGATGTCGGATGGAAAGCACCTTGCATTTACTGACGTTGAAATGCAATAAGTTTTGGGTCGACCATTGATACACTGTATCTAAGTCACTTTGGAGCACATGTTGGTCGGCGTTCGCCTGGATCCTGCGCCAGATCTTTGATATCGTCGGCAAACATTAGGAAGTTTGAAGCGATTCCCTGTGCAAGGTCATTAATAAACACCAAAAACAAACGTGGACCTAGAACCGAGCCTTGCGGCACACCACACTCGACTTGTATGGGGTCCGATAAAGAGCTCCGAACTCTGACCACTAATTGCCTTTGAAATAGAAAGTTGGCGATCCAGCTTAAAAGAGGGTCGCCGATCCCGTAATGCTGCAGCTTGGATAGTATTATCCGATGGTCTAGACGATCGAAAGCCTTGGAAAAATCCAGGTAGATCACATCAACACCTTCTCCAGCGTCGGCTGCCTCGGTCCAACTACTGCGTGCAATTAGTAAATTAGTTGTACATGACCGCTGTCGACGGAAACCGTGCTGTTGATG